CCAGGGCAGACAGGCGGGCCTTGCATGCCGTTTGTCTACTCCACACTCCGAGATAAAATCGATCACTCGCAATTAGTTGTTTCATATAATATCATTTTAAAATTTGCTTTAATTAAAGAAATAACACTTAAAATTATATGTAATTATTATTTATTTTCCTGTAGATAATGCTACACTGCTTAGTTATTCAGAGTGAATAAATATGCACTCGATTTTACATGTATTCTAATAAATTTATTTATAAATTCTGCTGCCATAGCTTACACTCCATCGCTAGCTCTTAGTTTCAATTAATTGTGAGCTCTTTATAAATAAAATTAAATAGAAATAATTATAAATATCATTTTTATGAAAACCATAAATGAAATACTAGAGTAAAAAACTTATTTTCGACTTAAACTTTATGCTAGAATACAAAAAAATTGCTCGCAACCTTTAGAATGCATTATTATAATTTGAATTTTTTCTACGAAGTCTAAGATAAAGATCTCTATTTTATTTTCAGTGCAAGGACTGACTTTGCCCGTGTGCCCTGTCTGCGTGAGTGTCTTTGGCACAATGCAAGTGACAGTTTATGGCATGCAGGTATGGCATGCATTTTATTTGCTTTCGATTAGACCCAACTAACTGTCTCGTCTGCTGCAGTTTGTTTGTTTGCTTGCCATTTGTTTATGGCGACTAATTTCGTGTTAAGAAATTTGCAAACAATCCGCCTGAGGCTTGGTATTTGCAGGACACCAACCAACTAACCAGCTATCGTACCCATTTGTCATGCCTGAATGGGCGTTTTCAGAGGAGTCTAGACAAGGGTCCGCACTCCCAAGCCATTGGCAGTCCGCCTGTCAGTCGCAGCTGTTCGTCTGTCTGTCAAAAAAAGGGGCCGCCCGCCCTGAACTTGAATTTTAAACGCCGAACCGCAAATAACATGTGTGTGCTGTGTGTTGTCTGTGGTCATTAAATGTCAGCTGCAGACGGCAAAAAAATCAAATGCTCAACAGCGCCTCGGAGCAACGCATATTATGCATTAATAAGCTGGTTGTACGACTAAATAACGCCAATAACTGTCATATTTGACATTACTGCTCCGCAGACAGGTTCATTAAATTTAGCTCTAGGGAATATGGATACCAAAAAAAAAAAAAACTCACGAAATTTTAATATATTGATGGTGAAAATTCATAAGCTGATAAACTAAGATACTTTAAAGTTTACCAATATTTCTTGCTTAACATTTTAGGTACACTTTTTTTTCTTAGCCAAGCTGTTTATTACTTTTGCCTTATGTGGAAATAAATCATTTTATAAAAGCACCGAGTCGAAAAACGCTAAATCAACAGATTCCCGGTCTCCCACTTGATGATATTGTCACGTACGGCGTCATACGCTGCGTATGCGCAACAAATCGGGGCCAAAGCCAAATAAACATAATTTTCTCCTTTTTTTGATGCTGCCGCTGTTGCTCTTGCTGTGGCCCATCAACAATCAAGCTAAAAGCCACGTTCAGGTGGAGTTTTCGGTACCTATTTTATTTTTTTCGGGGGCACTGTGAGAACGTGAGTGTGTGTCGCATATGTAACAATGTTTGCCCGGCCAGATTAAAAATTATGCTTTGTTTGCCCAACTGTCAGCAGAAAAAGCAGGAGCAACAACATGGAAAACCCTCCAAAATATAAAAAAAAAAACGACGAACTGAATAAAAAACTGGTGTAAAAAACTTTTCTGGCCTACACACAGTGACAGTGGCAACAAACTAAACAAAAGTTGGCAAAGCCGGGTTCCGTTGTTCTTACCTTGCCCCGAAAATGTGTGTCAGCTGATACTAGCCCACCACCCAAACCCACTTACCACCCACCACCCACGCATCATAATCATTTTTTTTTTTCGGCCACACTCTGTTGTTGGTAGCAATCAGCATTTTTCTTTATTTCTGCCCGTTTTGCAAGCTGAAGTTTATTTTGTAAACATGCCACTAAAAGTTTTCCACTTTGCTCTAAAATACTCAAACCGAATGCCAACACCAGCGACAACGTGTCCTCGCCCATCTCCACCCAAAAATAAAAAAGAAAAACCCCTCCCCCCTTTGTGTTTGCTGTTTTTTAGTTAATTTAAAAAGTTTTTTTCCTGCGCTTGTAGAGAAATTCTCTGTCGTTTCTCGTTTTTGATTTGCAGCAGTCAGAAAAATTGGTAAACGATTCGTCGAAATGTTGTTAGGGCAGCTCGAAACACAAATACACAGAGGGATATTTTTGTAGTGGCAGTTGTAGTTGCGGCCAGTCGAGTCCTGGGAAAACTGACATTTGTGCGCCTTTTCCTTCTGTGTTTTTCTTTACAGTTGCCACCACCCCTCGTTTTTGGCCAAGGAATTGCTTTCACAGTTTTTTTCGACGGTTTGCTTTGCTTTTGACTGCTGCTGCTGCTGCTTCTGCTCAAAATGTTTCCTTTATTTATGTGCTGTCACCGAAATTGAATTAGAAATCGCTTGTATTGGCAGCCACACTGGAGGTCGAAAAGGATCTGAACTCCGGAAAATGTGTGATGAAAGAAGATGCTTAAACCCAGCTCAAATATTTACTGAAGCGCAGTTCCTTGAAATGTACAACATTTTAAAGCACCTTTTCTATTAAAATTATAGAAAAAAAGTAGGTTTTTGGGTCTAAACGCTAAGAACCAAACCTTTTTTAAATAAATTTTACATCCTGTTGATTTTTTATAAAAAGAACAAAATGGTATATAAACAAGTACAAAAATTATAAATGAATATTACATTTTATTCACATGGTTTTCCTTCTGGTACTCCTTCTAAAATTGTCTCTACCCAAATTGAACCTTTTTAAATCTTTTTTATAGTCAAAATCTGTATCTAACTTTTGAGGAAACAGCTTGAAAGCTCCAAACTTGATTTCCGAATATTCAGATTTCGTTTGAAAGCACAGTCAGCCCCTTAATGGTCCTTTTAACCTCTCCGCAGAATTTCAATGGCCACGTTATCTGGTCAAGTTAGCCCGCTTTGCGTACCAAAACATTTGCCATTGTCTGGCCGTCTGTTTTTCCAAGGCATTCGGCTGGAGCCGTTAACTGCACTCCGGGAAGTGCACGTTCGGCGGGCTTTAATTAGATTTCATTCGGGCAAGGACATCGTCGTCCTGCCATCCTGCCGTCCTGCCGGTATTATTCTGCCAGGACATCGACGACCGTTGACAACTGGCTGCTGTCCTGCGCCGTGCCATTCTGCATGTATCTCCAGCTTGCTAAAATTTTGCGCTTGCTCTTTTTTGCGTGAAAAATGATGGGAAATAATTTGCCAACGATGTTGTCCCTTGCCGGCGAAAAGGACCCAGAGTAAGTGGGTCGTGAACGTGCGTTTGACGTGGCCATTTGGCGCACCACCTTCCTCCAGATGGAAAAATATATAGAGGTTGGTTAAAACAGGGGGGCGTAGCACTAAAAGATGGTTTGTTTTCTCAGGGATGCTGCTGTGTGTGTATTTAGGTGAAATTTATTTTACTAATTATTATGTAAGCGGCGGCGCTTTGAAGCTCCAAGCGCATCGCCATAAAGTGTTGGTTAATGAAATTAAAGCCACGCCCTTGCCACCAGCCGCCTCTAGTTTTCCCTTACGTAATTTATGTGGCAGGTGTGTCTAACACGTTTTTAAAACGTAGCATAACGCAAATGATCGATAATTTATACCCATAAAATAAAGTTAACCTTGCTGGTGAAACACCCCCATGGCTCCCCACCTTGCAATATGATAATGTTCAGGTTTTAACTCAATTTCGCATGCCAACGCTGGGGAAATTCCCCTGGCCCAAAGTGGACGGCAAAAATAAATTTTTACACACATATCCAGTGAAATACCAACCATCCATACTTGTATATATATATATTTACTATACTATATATAGTGCCATGTTATGTATTTTTTATAGCTCTCCGGGGATAATCAGCGGGCGAGAGCAGCATCGGTGGCAAAGCTAATGTAAAGTCCAACGCAGACACATAAAAATGAGAATTTATGCATTTTTTTCGAGGCTGCGAACAGTGGGCCAAAGTGGCCACCGCAGGGAACAGCATCCTGCCAGGTGGATGGATGGAGGCATCCTGGCATCCTGGCGTCCAGGAGCAGCAGAGGTGACACAGGTGACGCTTTTGTGGATTTGTGGCCAACATTGGCGTTTATTACTGGAGAGGAAGGAAGTGCGCACATGTCGCCCAGGAAAAAAGCTACGGCAACAAAATATCCATAATGAAGTTGTAAAAATTGCACAATTTTTATTTCTTTCTCTCCCATATTAATTTTAACATTTCCACCTCTCTCGCTCCGTAAAATTTTTGTTCGTTTATGCAAACGACACATTTGGAAAAATAAAAAAAAAAATCGGTTGACCACATTTTTAAATGTTTGGTCGGAAAAAATATGTACTGAACTTCAAACAATGGATTTAAATGTTCAATTAAGGGCGGCGTGTCGAGGGAAATGAATAAATTGCTAAGGGAGAAATTCAAATGATTTCAATAACACATGTATACATCAGCATATTTGCATTAAAATTTAAAACTCATTTAAAAAATGCTTAGTCTTTTGCTTAATTAGCCATTCAAGACTTATCTTTCAACACAATTTTCCTGAACTTCTTGAGTTGGCTTCTACGAAACAAAGTCACAAACGACTAATTAAAAGTGTATAACTTTTGCTGCATAATTAAATTTTATTTGTCCTCTGCTTCAGACAAAAGTTGGAAAACAAAAACGCTGGTGTTTTTAAAGCCTCACTGTGGGGGTGGGGAAAAAATTTGTGTAAACAATGAGGATATGAAAAATTGCCATTACAAATGAAATGGAACCTGAGCAAATATGCCAAATGGCAGGGCAAACAATTGTAAATAAAATATTCCCCATGACAGCGGGAAAAACAAAGATTGCGCGGCTTAAATTAATAATTTTTAATTATCAGACTACTGATGGGGAATACCATCAGCAAATGGGTTATCATCACTCACCTGGCTTGAAGCCATCGGCATGCTCGTGCGAATTGGCATAGGTTATGGCTCCCATGATCAGGCAGATGAGGAATGAGGCGGTGATGGACATGGTTATATAGCTCTGCTCACGATCCTATGGGATCCGATCCGACTGGTGATTACTGACTAGTTAGTATGCTGCACGGGGCTCGATGGCGGCTCACTGCATTAGGTATGCAAATAAATGGGGTTCGGCCTGCTCGAACATCGCTTCAAATATGTAAGCTCGTTGCTCTAATTCACTCGCTCAATGATTTCCCTTTTTTTCCTGGCGTTGGTTTTTATCGTTTCCACTCGTGTTTTCGCTTTTCACTTAATTAAAAACTTTTGCGCTGCACATAAATTCATTTTAATATTTACAAACATTTTTTGCCCGGCTTCTTAGCTGCTCGGCTGTTTGCGCAGAACGCATAACCGTTAAGATGAATTTTTAATAGAATTTGACGAGGCTTAACTTTGGTCACCTATATATATATATATATGTGGGTGTGTGCCTGTGTTTGTTTATAAATATTTAAAATAAAACGCGCACGTGTTGCTCATTTCGCGCTCTTTTTCTTGCCCGCTCTGCATTAAAAATGTAATTTCAAATCCTTTTGCCTCGCATCCTGAAGCCAAGCCGTGTCCTTTCTCCTTTCACCGAGTGATAACTGCAATTAAACAGAAAGAGGAAGACAGTTAGAGCGGTCGTTTCATGTGGTTAGTTGGATTTTAATTAAAATGCTCGCATATTTGCCCACTAAGCCAGTTCGTTTTGGGGGATTTCCCGACGCTGCTCTGCCATAAATAAATGCTCATTAATTTGAAGGCCATTACATAATGCCAGCACACACACACACACATCGAGAACAACTTGATGCCAATCAATAATGATGTATTAGCCAAGGACCCACACACAGACTTACACACTGGAGAAGTTCCATCTATCTGCTTGGGTTACGCAAAACGAATAGCCCAAGTTTAGCTGAGATGGGAATTAATTGGGGGAAGCGTTAAGTAAAATGGCACTGAAGAAAAATACCAAACCATATTATATTTTTTCTCTCTTAGATTTATTTTAAAAAGCCCCTAAAATTACCTAAAAATTCTAGTGATAGCTTAAGTTTAGCTTAGTTGATATTAATTGGGACAAGCGTTAGGTAAAATATCACTGGAGAAAAATACCATCCTAAAAAGATAACATCTATCTTGGAAGTATATTAGAAAGGCCCTATAAGTATCCAAATAATTTCTTATGATAGTCCAAGTTTAGCTTAGTTGGGAATTAATTGAGGGAAGAAAAATACCATACCAAATTATATTTTATCTCTCTTGGACTTATTTTAGAAAATTACCAAAAAATTCTAGCTAGTATTGTATCATTTCAAAATATACCTAGTCATATGCTTTGTTATCTATTAAGAACTTTTGATGATCTAACTATTTTTGCAGTGCACCATGACAAGACCATTCTAATACTGAGAGACACAGAAAGATCTCAGCCCCATGACATTTCCAATCGCCTTGTCAATGGCCTAATGTGTGGCCACAGTCTTAAGCAGACAAAACTCTGGAACCCCAGAGCACTACCACCCACAACGCCTCCCTGCTAACTAACGGTAATTGACAAAAGAGTCATGAAAACTTTGACTTGAAAGTTGTTGCCACGTTTTTGTTTAACACGCAGCCAAACAAGCTGACAAACTTGTATGACAGCCAGTCAAGCGAAGTTCCCCAGCGCCTGGGAAAAAAGGATACTTGGATGGCTAGAGGGGGAAGTGGGTGCAGGAAGTGGGTGCAGGTGCAGGTGTGATGGGTCAGAGAAGCAGCCTCACCTGGCAGGGAAAATGCCAGCACACCCACTCACACACTAACACACACCTCAGGGACAAGTTGTGTTACTTGAGCAAGTTTGCATTGGGTAATTAAGAGCTGTGCAAGTGTTTATTGAGAGATTGTCGGCGGAGAGTGTCTCTACTTATGTGAGTGGGTTTCTGTGGGGGGAAAAGTTTAGTTTTTCCAAGCTGAGCACAGACCGCAGAAAGGAAAAGAAAGGAAAAACTTCGAGTGCTAAAAACGATTAAGGAGGGTAAGATAGCATCTTCGTAAATATTCTTAAGACATAATTGTGCGGAATATTATTATTACAAGCACCCAGTTATAAACAAATTCTAAAGAGTTACCTCAGAACTTTTTCCATTAATATTGTACTTGAAGATTTCGATTATTATTATCATAATCAGGTCTTATAGGGGCACCTAAGAGGCCCCTGCGATATAGATCTAGCCAGGTCACAATTTGGCACTGCTTTTTCCCTGCAAAAGCTCGACAAATTCCAAGTCACTTGGCTAGTCAGTGAACCCATTTGCCTATGCCCATAGAAACAGTCAACAAATGGCACATTAGGGTCTAGAGCCCAGGAATAGTGGCTGAAAAAACGGGTGAACCAACAAAAACCATTGACAAAAACCCAGTCAATTATGCCAACAATATGCACACATTTCAAAAACGATGCCAGTCCAGGAACCAGTTAAGGCAACAACAGCAACAACATCATCGGCAAGGACAACACGGATATTCCATAAAACTATGGCAATGTTAAGCAATAACAAAAAACAAGGTGGTCGAGCAGCAGGGAAAATGCGAGCTGAACAAAACCCAGCCAAACCGAACGGAATGAAATGAAATGAATAAGCGATGGTGGTGGTGGAGTCCAGGGAAATGGAGTGGAGTCGGTGTGAAGTTGGTTGAATGTTTTTTGCCCTGCGGCGATAGTTTTATTTTTTTCCGACTTTTTCTACGCTTTTAAAAAAGTGCTTTGGCTTTCGGATGCATTTGAAATCATTATAAATGAGAATTGTCGGTCGCTTAAAGCTCAAATGGACTGCAAAACATAAAATAACTGGTTTTTATGAGGATATATCATTATGGAGTGGCAGTGATTTCAAAATAAAAATTTATAAATTTATATTTATAAAATGTTTTTGAGGTTTAACGATTTTTCAGTAAAGCCTTTTACTTATTTGTATATATTTTATAATATTACTTTATTTTGTCTGCTATAAATCCTAGTGTATTCAAATTTTCAACCATGAAACTGCACATTTTCAGTCGCCCCTTTTTTTATATTCACTTTTTCATTGCAAGTTACCTGGCAATGCCTTTGGGCGCTTAGCGTATAAATTGAGCGCAGCAATTTCATTTAAATGTGCACAATAAACTTAGTTCATGACCCTCGAGCATTTTGGCTGGCCTCCTTCTCCGTCTCCTCGGGTGTTGTGTGTCGTTTATGTCTGCACATCGTCTAAATTGTAAATCACATTAAATTTGCGAGCAACATGCATAATGCAGAGGCAAACGAAGGCAAAAAGGCGCAGCCAGGACGAATGACAGTCCAGGAACAGCAGGAACCGGAAGTGCAGCACACAAACACACACTCACACACACACACACATAAGTGATTCTATTTTTTTTGTAGCAAGGCAATTGAAATGAAATGAATTGCGGTTGAGGAGTCGGCAAACAAAGCAAAGTCAGCAACATGAAACAGGAGAAGAAATGGAAATGGAGTTGCCCCCCTGCCACCCGTCGCGAAAATTGTGCTGGAAAAACTGTCGCCCTGCGAAATCGATAAGCATGAGGGAAGAAAAGCGGAAAAGCCAAGAAGAAGAAAACTTAAGCGATCGGGTTGAGTGAGTGGCACCCAGCATAAAGGTAATTTAGTCGCTTGACATGCTTTTCCAACTGCCAAACGTTTTTCATTTCGCTTCACTCCGCTTTCCCATCGAGATTTCCTGCACTTGTTTTTACAGCTTTGCATTTGATTTGCATTTCCTGCGATAGATAGATAGATAGATAGTCAGATAGATAGTTTTTTTGTGTATGTCCATCTAAATCCATCTGCGTTTGTCAGGAGATTTGGAGCTATTTGACAGCACGGAGAATGCAAATTGATTGGCTAAATGAGAATTAATTTAAAGCAGGCTACCGCTGGCGGGCACTCCAATTAAATCCATCCAACCCCACAAAACCCCCGGTTCGCATAAAAATTTAAGCAATATTTTAAAAGCCTGTCTCCCGTCTGCTGCATATTTTATGCCTTATATTTACAGCGTACGGAAATTTTCGGGATGAATCGAGGGGCTGAGTGGCGAGCTGCACTTTTGCACCTGCAACTGCAACAATTTCTTCTGGCCCTCGTTGTTTAATATTTCTCCTCTCTTTTTTTGTATATTTTTTTTTTGCCTGCCTCAATTTCCGGCAAACTGCCGACACGGCTTATCCGCCTCCCCCTTCTCCCTCTCGACCCCTCCCTCAGGCGCCTGGACCATGCCCACTTTCATTTCAACTACACGCTCAAGTGAACTTTGCTAAATAATACAACAAATTGTGCAGTGGGGCCCACTCCATGCACCCTTGACGCAAAAAAATTTAAAACATTTTCGAGGCATAGTACGTATATATACTATTTTTTTGCAACTTGAGTTGCATTTTTAAAATCGAGCAAGGTGCCCGGGTGGCGACCTAAATATTTGCCATGTTGTTAAATTAAAAGGGAAGGAATAAAAGCAGAGTCAGCATTACTGGTGCGAGAAATAAAAGGCAAAACTAAATCAACAAACGCCTACGGGCCAAAGGCAGACATTATGAAAATGGCGACAAACGACCGGAAGTGGCCACCAGCACACACACACACGCACACAAAGGCACACATATATGTATGTATACATGTAGAGAGGAGCACATGGGATAGTATTGCCCGTAGCTAACCTGGCGCTGACTTCCTGCGATTTAAATATGGCCAAGCCGCAGAGCCAAAGCCAAAAGCCAAACAGACGACAACGCATGCAAATAGAAGGGAGGGGGGTTGTGGGTGGTTTTTGGTATGGAGTGGGTGGTTCGAGGGAGGGGTGGGTCGGAGGAAGTGGGACAGCGTAGGAAGCAGCCAGCTATATAATGAGGCTGAAACCACGCTCGCATTCGCCCGCTGCTCATTTCCAGGTCGACATAATTTGTCCATAATTTGTCTGCGTCTTGCGCAGAGGGGTCACAGGAAGGGCATAGGGGGGTCACAGGAGGTGGGGGTACTGTGGAACTCCGTCTGAGGGTTTATCTATGCCCCACTGGGAAGCTATTTATGTCCTCTTTTGGGGCACCATTCAGCCCCCACACAAAATTCGGTGGCGGCAATAGGGGAAATGTAAATTATGAAACTGAGTCGATTTTTAATAGAGAAATTTTGGGGGAAGGAAGGAATGTTAGGTACACTGCAGGAAGAATGAGGAAGGAACCTCAAATGATATCATTAAATTTAACTTTTACAGAAAGGATTGCAGAATTTTTAAGTATTTCTTTAAGGATTATAAACTACCAACATTATTAATATTTTCACAAACAGAACCTTTAATTTTAAAGTTATTTTCAGATATTTTTCAGTGTAATTATAGGTGGGTAAAGGAGTGCGCCTACTAAGAGTGTGATAAGCGACATGCACACGTGAAAATGACCTACTTAACCACCTCCCTACCCTTTAAGCCAAAGCTAACCAATAATCTAAACCACTTTGGACACGGCACAAACAATTGCCGTGTTGGCCCCCGTGTTAACAACTTTTTCACGGCTCTCACTGACCACGGACTAATTAAACGGGACGAAGTCTAATCATGTTGAA